AAATATTGTATTTAACACAAAGAAAATATCGACAAGAGTTGTTCAGTGAATATGAATTTTAACGTTTGTTTTAATTATTCTAATGAAATAGAATCTTTTATCTATTATCAAAGATTATTAAATGAAAATATTCTTTTCTTTTCAATTTCTCTAATAAACTTTATCGATCAAAAGACGTCTTAATCTTTTCATTTTGAAGAAAAGAAAATTTTTCAATAGAAAATCTCTTTTAATCAATATTTATTTTAGCTAATTTTTCTTTGAGTTCAATCGAGAAAAAGATTTGACTATTTGTCATTATATTTAACAATAGTTTAGTGAATAGATGACAATTCTTCTCTTTCAAGTATAAAAACAATTTGATTATTGAAAATTTTCTCTCTATTGAAAAGATTTTTTGATCAAAGAAGACCACAATGGGAAAGAATATTTTTTTTCTTTAAAGAAGAACTTCTTTTCAATTTCAAATTCTTAATTGATTACATTGATCAATACTGAACAATGGTTCATCGATCGAGAAATTCTCTACGAAATCTCATTCAGAAATAGATGCTTTGAACAAATACCCTTTATTTATGTTAAAAAACTGAAAACAAGAATGTTGAAGTAGATCAATATCTTAACCATCGAAAAATCAAATTCAATTCAATGCAATTCATTTCCTTTAGATACCGTTGAAAATATTTCATTTAGTAATGCATAATCAACGAGGCATGAAAGGTATTATTGTCTTGTCTCAGTCGTCTATAACTGAGTGTGACTGTGAATGTGGGGTGTGAATGTAGTTCTTCTCTTAATTCACAGTCACAGTCACGCTCACACCCACACTCTGCTAAAAGGGTACCATACGGAGCAAAAAGTAGTTTCATGCGCTATAGGAGAATTAAAAAGGGTTCCGTACAAATTACGAAACTTAAAAAAGGTTTTGAATTCGTTACAAAAAATTGTTCCGTAAGGTATTATATTTTTTAGAGCACTCCACCCACATTCTGTGAAAATAAATTTTCCAAATGTTCTAAATTGATAAATTCCTTTCGAATAAACAAGATTGACAGACTAGTATCAGCTTTGAGACACACTTCACTATTTGACTTGGTCCATTAGCTTCTAGTCAGAACTGTTACTTATTGGATGATAAAAAAAAGAGTGAAGGGATGGTTGGACTTATTTTAAACGAACACACATAAACGCATAGTCGTACCCGACGCCTGCATATACACCCAAACTGAGACTCTCGCACACATCAGCGCGCATAATTCATTCATATTCACAAACTGACATGCATATTCACAGTGAAAGTCTATTCACTCTCTCGAAAGGAAAGTAGAGTAAAATGAAAGCAATTATGGGCAATCATTGACAATCAATAGCAATGAAAGAAATATATTCAACCAAAAGTTCGTTTTTTTCTGTGTTTTTTTTACCAAAAAGAATTGCGTCGTCGAATTCAATACACTTCCCTGTGACACCAACAACCTTTTAGAAATTGAAATACTACTAAACTTTTGTTTCGCGGAAAAATGAAAATGATGATATGAAATATATAAGCAACAAGTAATGTCATTATTTTCACTTTTACCATTCAACATTCAGAGTAGTGCAATCAATATGTGGTCTCTGCTAGCTGTCATAATGTGAGTTATTCATGCGTCGGAAGTAAATTTATATTAAACATTTTCTATGATTGTTTAGATATATTGTCAATGTATCAGGTAAGATTGTTCATCGACCGTGTGATGAATTCTATATGTTGAGTTTAAAACAGGAGACGTAACGAACAGTTCGCAATGCCAGCCTTCGACATGTGGCACTCGAGCAGCATCTTGTTCAACCAATTTGGACTGTGAGTGCTTGTCACTTAGTTCAGGCGTGAGTGGTGTATGTGCTGCATTGCTCTCTTGCTCCAGTTTGACATCGTGCTCAAGTAATAATGTGACATGTGCAGTACCTGGTACTGTCTGTGTGATTAGTACTCGCTGTAACAAGCCAGTTTGTTATCCGCTAGCACTCACCATTCCACAAGTGTGTCCACCATTCAATTCAAATACAACGGTATCATCGCCTGCAACTACAGGTATTAGTTAACAAAATACTTTTATTAGTAGGAAATAGCGACTTGTCCATGAATGACTATAGTTTCAGTATTTTCAACCTCTCTCTTCATCCTAAAATGCCATTCAGTTGCTTTCTCTACCAAGCGGTTGCTCAGTGTACAAATGCACATAATCTTGCGAAAACATTGAAACGTCTAGTACTTCTAAAAAGTTATTAAACAGTAGCTCTTTTTAGCAGTTGCTGCTAAATTTCCCAGCCCAATGATTCCTAGTCATGGAAAATTTGGATTTCACCGAAAACGATCGATAAGATACAAGGAGATTTGTCGTATTCGGCAGAAAAACATTGGAGTTTGATCTAGCATGAAAGCAGCATTTCGCAAGAAATGTCTCCCAAGTTTTTCTATAGCATCACCCCTGTTTTCTATCGGAGAAGATTCCATGAGAGATGCTGGCACAGCAATTGTTCCCAGCAAGAATGTCGCAAATCATCTATACCCACATCCCTTGAGAATTGGCACTATAGATATGATGAAGTGAAAGTAAGAATGAACAGAAAGCCAAGTTTTACCTATCCATCTTACAAAGTGGTTCAAGTTTTCTGATACTTTTCATTAATGACTGATTTAACGTTTAATACATAAAGCTTCCTGTTAATCATTGTAGGAACAACAGGAAGAACAACAGGAAGAACAACAGGAAGAACAATAGCGACAACAGTAAGAATACAAACAACGACATTAGCAGCAACCACGATACCAACTACGACCACAGCAACAACAGGAAATAGTAAATAGATCAGAATGAAATAGTCTTTCGCGAAAGATCATCCAGAGCCATATTGTTTCCTTACATCTTCTTAAGACTGAGAGTTTTTATGACTAACAGTTGATTTTCATCCTTCAAAAGTATTCCAACAAAACTATTGAAATAGATTCAATAGTTTATATCCATTCGCCCTTCTGTAAACAATCATTCATACTCCCAAAAATTATTTAGTACAGGGCGCACTCAATAACACATTTTAGAACGATAATGACAAATGGAAGTTCTTGATGTACTTTCATTTCGAGACAGCAAGTAAAAGTCTACTTTTGACGATATCAACAAGGTCTAAGAAAATTTTTGCATCTATTACCGTTCCATTGTAGTGGTTAACGAAATTGCGGAAAATAGCTTGTAAACCAATATCTTATAACACTTTTACGAACAAACGCGTTTGATCCATGAGTTATCTATAGGCAGCTATATATTTCATCTCTTGTCTGTCCTACCTAAATGTCACTCAAAATGAAGCTTACATTCGTAATCAATATCAAAATGGAGATTTAATAAAGTGTTATCAATCGCGCTCAGATATAACTCAAGGCCTACAGTTCGAAGCAAAAATTGCTTCCTTATCACCAACAATTGTCATAGTTTACCACCTTTTTACGTTGATAATTTTGAGTATGTGTGGACGTCAGTGAACATTGATCACTGAAAATACTCATCGTCTATTAGTTAACATGCACCGTAACTATTTGTTTAACCTTGTCTTCCTTTTGCAAAAATTGTATCTTGATTATTTGTTGTCATTTCCTTTCACGCAATTCTACATTCCAAATCCTAATCATCAAGCAATTTCCAACGAAAATTTCGTAAAAAAAAAGCCTGGAACTCTGATGTAGTCGAAGATTGCGTATTGCTTTAAGAAATGAGAGATGCTAACACTTCTGAAGATAACATAACAATTTGACAGATTATGTGCTCTAAAGTTTGCAGGTAGTACTCGAACCACAGGCAGTAAATTAAGTGACTTGATGCGAGATTTTGTTAAAGAAAAATGATATTGGTTAAACTTTCTACCCTACAGTATAACAGAGGGATTCGTGATTGAAATCTCAGTTTTCGTCAGAGTTTACTATGAGACTAAAAAACTAGCAGATAGTGTAATATTTGTCCAACTCTCAAGTTCGAATTAGTCGTCGAATGGAACGCTTCCATCGTGTTGCCTCAATGTATAATAGATAAGCAATCATTGAAAAAATTTACTGCGATTGAGATTACCAATTGATTGAATCTCGATATTTTGTGACGCACGTTACTCCTAATGAACTAAGCAATTATATTAGACTACATTTAGTGTTAGAAGAGAAAGAAGTTTCAGAAAAGTGAAATGACGAGCGAAAGGTTTTTGTGATAAGTTTTTCATTTGATTCATTCAACATCTATATAGAGAATTCTGAACTAGCCACTAGCAATCGTGTCTCAAAAACAAGGGACACAGGTGAGAACTTTTTCAGTTGTTCAATTGCTTTTCATTTGAAACTATTCCTCTTTGAGTTTTGGTGATGAAATGAAAATTTCTGCTTTAATTTGGTATTCAAAACTTTGACTACCAAGTTATGAGTGTTGTACCCGATTTATGACATATGAACATAGCATCGTCGAGAACTTGAGTCATCCAATTTCCAGTTGTTTGACCCAAAATAAAAGTATCCTTGTTAAAATATTTAAATTTTTTGAAGAGACATCCATTTTAAGCTAGCAATTAAAAGAATGATGCTTCTATGACAAACTTATCTCTCAAAACATATAGACTTTTCCTATCTCAAACTTGTGAGTGCTTGTAATACTTGTAAAGTCTATTTATGGACTAAATAATAACTCAAAACTCAATAGTTCAGATTCTCAGTGATTCTATACTCACAAATGATAAATTGAGCAAACGCCCATAACTTCATAAGCAAATACCGGAAGCCAAATTAAGACAAATATATTTATTACTCATCATTTTTGATCGAATGACAATAGCCTACAGAGAACAGCTATTGGGCAGTTGCAAATATTTCCTGATCTTCAACTATAATCTGCTCGTTAGTTGTACAAAAAGAGAATCGACAATACAAAAACAACTGAGTCAGCGTCTCCTATGATAAGCCTAGAATGTAGCGTAACATTAAAATGTGTGTCTATTATTTTTTAGGAACATCTTGCTTACAGTGGAACCAAAATCCGATTATTGTTGCGGGAAATGGAACTTTGGGAAATAGTAGTAATTTGCTGAATGGTCCATGGGATTTTTCAATTGACAGCTATTCCAACTTATATATTAGTGATGGCTACAACAATCGTATTATAAAATATGCAAATGGCAGTTTAGTTGGAGTATCTCTGACAAGTGGAACTGGTAGGGGTCTTAATCAAGTTTGGAATCCATCGGCATCAATCATTGACACGAAAGGCAATCTCTATGTTTCCGATATGTATAATTTCAGAATAATGAAATATGCCAATATTTCGTCAACATCCAGATCACCACCGATTACTGGTCAAGTAGTTGCGGGTGGTAGTTTCGGAAATGGTTATAATCAGCAATGGATCTCGTGGGGAGTAGCAATCGACCCTAGTGGTAATGTATTTGTATCAGATTATGGATACAATCGGGTGATGAAATGGGCTCCAGGGGCGATCACTGGTAGCCTAGTGGCTGGAATAGGAAACGGCACTGGGGGAAACAGTTCAAATCAACTTTCGTGTCCGTTGGGTATTTATCTTGATCAAAGCTTATCCCTATATATTGCTGACGCTTGCAATGGTCGAATTCAAAAATGGTTATCTGGATCATCAACAGGTATAACAGTTGCTGGCGCCAATGGCCAGATAAATTATCCAACTGATGTCTCTGTTGACAACTATGGCATAGTGTATGCATGGAGTGGCGGTGGTTTATATCGATTTACTCCCGGCTCTACTTGGGGCACTATTGTTATTTCAGCTTATAGAGTGGTTTTTGGCTTTAAATTTGATTCGATTGGTAGTGTGTACATTGCTGACTATGGGTTGAATGCGATATTAAAATATACTCTTAATAGTACGCAATGTAGTACGTATTTTTGTTTCTCTATGTTACTCAATACCAAAGTTAACGCATTTCTTTTTATTTCACCATAGACAGTAAAATGACTCCAGTCATCGCCCCATCATCAAAAGAGGCCTCAACAATGCATCCAAGTAAGATACATCCATTTCTTCTCTTCAAGTCTTGTATTAATTTTTTCTTTTCCTAAACTCCGATAAAATGCGACAAAATTCCAGTCTAGTTTTACCAGAAAATCATTGTCATCAATAGATATTGTCTTTCTATTTCCTGTGTTCTAATGAGAACGTTTTTATGCTGGCAGAGATGAATTCAAAATATCGGTGAATGCGAAAAAGTATTCAACAAAACTTGTTTGAAAATTGAAATGCCTTGATTATAAGTATTGATAGAGCAGTAGTTATCCGAGATCATAAAAAGACTTATGAAACATTCTATATAGTGGCGAGTGCAGAATATTATTGAAGGTAGTGGTACTCGCCTTACTAACAGAGTGTTCTGCTATAATAGGTGAGGAGTACTTGAACATATATCATCGACCCTGTTTTATTATATCTGAAACATAATCTAATAGATATAAAATTTCATTTAGAATCCTTTGACAACATAAATCAGTGGGCTATGCCTGAATACTGATATTTACAATAGGACATGAGATGCCAAGGCCTGATGACACATGAGTTCTATGCTACAAAGACATTTTTGAGTAACAATTAACGTTTCAAGGCACTAAGATTTAGTTATCATGATAGTGTTACATTTCTCATAAGACTACGGACATATTTTGAGATTTTCGCTATTATGTTTTCATTGAATGCAAAATCAATATGATAGTGGAAGATAGCATGACTAATTCAGTTATTATTTATGGAATGAATGATTGCACAGATATTAAACGATGTTCAAAATATAGGAAATATTAGATATTTAGCAACTTACTCGAATAATTTACTCAATCTCAATAATTTTCAAAATTTTTATTCAGTATATCAGCTGTCTCATAGATATGGGTTAGTCAAGCACTGCTATGTTTGTATCAGATTGTTGCATGATAATAAAGCAACAACTATGTTTCTAATCTTACCTCATTGCGTAATTACCTGTTTGTTAACTTGAAGGGCATCCTCTTGTTTTTTGTTATTACAGATGCCAAGAGTATTTTGGAAGCGGCAGCAGCTGCTCAATCATTACGACAAAATTCTGCATCTTCACATTGATTGGTCCATCGCCGTACATTTACGTTATTGTATACCTTAAACTGAGAAGTTGTCTTCGTGAAATATTTGACCTTTTTTTCAATATTCTTTTTCTTATTCAAGTAAAACGTTCTTGCTCGTTTATTTATCTTCCTTCTACAGAACACCAAAGTGCTCGGCATATCTTTATTTTTCAATAACTAATTTCCATTTATTCTATATACCATTGCTTAATCATGAAAATGATATTTCAATTTATATTTACATTTGAAAATAAATAAGTCTACAATTACACGTTTTCATTTGCTGCATTCAAGAGAACACAAGACTAACAGTTTCAGTAGTAGGGGTCGGCGGCTATTTGATTTCGTCAGTCAACGATAGGCATTCATCTGAAGAAATTTGATTTTAAATCAATACTTGATGCGTTGCAAATTTAATTTTGAATTTCAAAGACAGATTTTTATTGAAGGATAAAAATATAGTATAATCCATAATATTTTCAAGATATCATGATCAATCACATACTTGGTTGCAAGCAAAGTGAACTGGTTAAAGATGTGTCAGTGTGGAAACGAGAAGTAGTCACACTAGTACATCCCAATGCATTATTATGGCTGTAAAATCTTGTTCGCTTCAAGCATTTGTTTCATTCAACTTTGTCGCACGTTTTTTTTCCATATCGTATTTAGAATGAGCATGAAAAACTGCATCGATCTGTCTATATCACTCAGTGATTTGAGGTTTCGTTATCCAATAATAGAATGTGAAACTACCCTCAAAAACTGTTTATGTTGTGTTTTCTTATTATTTGATCTTACAATTATTGAAAATGGGACTTTCAACGGTTTTTGTACTCGATGCTATATAAAGAAAGCAATTGTGTGTATGAATGAGTAATTATTAGGCTTTTTCGTGATATAACTAGATCGTCTATAATGATAACAATGGAAAATAGCCGTCTATCGGCATCCTTCGATAAAATAGAATGTATCCAAGTTTTTCTTGGATTGCCCCGAAGACCAACAAATTACAAAAACTACCGATAAATGATGAAAGTAGTTTTTTTATACAGAACAAAATATTTCATCCTACTTCAAATTTCATGTTCATTCTGAATATGTGATTTATATTGAAGGGTAATTTGGATAAACAAATGGTCTTTCCGATGTTTATTATTTTCTGGTTTGGTCGAATAGAAATAGTACAATTTGTGACGCTTTAAAATGGTAAGAAAAAGTGTTTGTTTAGAAAAGACTATTTGATGTTGTGAATATTCTCTTTATATTTACCTCCATTCTCACCCGCTGACTATTCTTTTTATGAAAGACACATGCCATATATTCTTTGACACTTTTTGAAGTAGTAGTATCTGTTCTCTAGCAATTTTTCTCTTACCATGAGGATGTGAATGTGCATCTGTGTGACTGTAGATGTGGTATTCATCCACACGCACCGAAGGATTATGCAAACATAAAAAGATTTTCAGTCGAGTATACAGTGGCTATGTAGAAACTCAAAAGACACAAGTGAAAAATTTCCTGTCGTTATTCGGGGCACTGACGGTATAGCTATAAATAATTAGACCATTTTTGTTCTTATTGATGCGACTGGCAAATGACATTTTTCTTGAAATATAAGTCTCCTTAGAGATTATCAGTGTTACACATAAAATAGTACGGTATACTCAATCCGGCACATATTTTAATGATATTATTCAAAAATTTCCTAGTTACACTAAAAATATAATTTTAAGCAGACAAACAAGACCAATTGCTTTAGAACTCATTGTATGTAAAAGACTACTGCTAAAACTCGCGAGATAATATAGTAGAATGGATAAGGGTGTGAAGCAGGAGGGTACTAAGACTCACACCCATAACCTGTAGGTTATTCTATTTCTTTGTTCTCAAGTTCTATTTCATACTTGAGAAGAAGCTGACATTTCTTGACCGACTGTACAATCGTTGCTAACTGTGTACGAATAACGATGTTCAAACTGACCCTGTCGGTCAAGCATGGCTTCGATAATTTTTTCCATCACTCCTTGTAAAAACAATATTGATGAAAGTACTATACTAGCAATGCGACATGTACGATGTAGTAGTAGCTAGAAAAAACGGCGAGGTTCTACGTCAGCGAGGCTTCCAGATTTGCCTATTGTACCATGTTTTAACTGAAAAACATTGAGCAAGCACTGGTAACAATTGTTTTTCCATACAGTATAGAAGATCTACCGCTTTTTGTAAAACACGATCGGAAAGGAGTATTGAAGTATATAGGGTAGAAATTTTGAATCCCCCACCTCGAAAAAACTGTGACAGAGAGTTACCAGACCCATCACAGACGGTGAAAGACATTTTAATTAATCAATCGATTACTTATTGTTTGATTAACTAATTGTCCATCAGAGACTGCGGCAGAGAGGATCCGAACCCATCACAGACGATAACGGATCGTTTTCATGAGCTATTAGAAGTCATGTATAAATAACGTCTGACTGAAATCTATATATAGAGTATTTCATTGTTGAAGTTTTATGCTTTAAGGTAAGAAATAATGATGAAATATACTCCAATGTACATAAAAAAGACAAGTTTTCAGAGAATTAGCAACAATGGGTACATCGCATTTCACATTTTAATTCCATGGGGATTATGCTAACAGCTTTTTCTCTAGTGTGTACTGAGCACTTAAGGGTACTCCCTCATCTTTTTTCACCGTTTCTGGTTCTCGATGACGATATCGCCGATCAAGCTAAAATTTTCACCACAGATAGAACACCAAAAATAAAGAGACTTGTATTTGAGGACAAAACTTTGGATCCTGATACGTTACGATCCCCACTAAACTTTATCCGATTGAGCTGAAATTTGTTTTTGAAATACCTAAGACTATTCTTCAGAGATAATTTTAAGCTTTTTCAAAAATCTCACTTTCTTTCCTTTTTATAAGGTGAATAAGCCAAGGTTCGGAACCACAACCTGGGTCTTTATTTTAAGGGCTCTGAAGATCCAACGAAAAAAGTCAAAAACGAAAACGCTCGATTTTACCTCTGGAGAATACTTTTAAGTATTAGTGGTGAAAATTTCAGGCCGATTGAACAACGTTAGAGAGGAGTCGTAAGTAGCCAGGATTGAGAAAATTGGTGTTTTGCATTATGCGAAGTAAAATAAAAGAATTTCATAACTCAATAACTATTTAGCAGTAAGCTTGTTAGAGTTGAGTGATGGCTCAAATTACACATAGCACTTTAGGCTATCATTCCTGGGTGTGGGTGTGAGATGTTAACATCTTCATCCACATCCCACACCCCAACAGTATTAGTAATCGATATGCAATATTAAATGAAGTAAATACACTGTTCGATTTCTCTTGGAAATTCAAAATGTTTATTGTATTTCTGATGTGTTTTCAAGACTTCTAGACATGGTTTAACCAACTGTTTTGACATGTGTGACGGTGATTAGTTATTGTTTCACGCACGTGCACACCCACACTACTTCTGCACCATGGTATAGGTGTGCGGAAGCTATAGGTACAGTTGAAGCTGTCAGTGTATAAGATGTAGGTAAACAGAAGATCAACATCACATCCACATACCTCACATTTATAACCTCTATCTCTAATTTCTGTTGCATATATCAATAGATATTTCAGACCTTTTTTTTCTAATAGTGAGCATTTAAAAAAAAGCTTCTGTCAAAATCATTTTTACACCAATAAGCTCATAATGAAAAATGCATGTTTTGATGTAACAAATTTTTGACTGGCGAAAAGCTAAAAATGTGCTCAAAAAGTTTCTTCTTATAACCATGATGATTAAATTTGGAACTGTTGCAGCAAGTTTTCAACTTAAATTTCAATCTTAACATTTCAAAATTTGATTCTCTTATTTTATTTTCATGAAAATATGAATTCATATTTCATTCTTTGCAAGGATAGTTTATTATTCATAGTTAAGATAAATATCTTATATATTCTTCAATTAGTAGTAGACTTGGATGTGTAAAAGGGTAAGAAATAACAATAGATGTTAGCATCTTTTTGAAAAATATTCGAGTTGTTGTTGATATTCTCCTTCGTCTTTATGAATATTACCGATGTTTTCAATGATCACAGCAATGTCAAGATACCCCCAAGGTAGAGATTTTATTTTAAGTGTAAGTGATTCATTGTAATGTTTCAATGCAAGTTCATATTAGCCTTGACAATGATATATATTACTAATATTACAATGTGATTGACCGACATCAGGATGATGTTCAAGTAAATAATCTAAACAAATATTCAATGCTTGTTGATGAAATTCAAGTGCTTTGGAATAATTTTCTTGTCGCTTATATAAACAACCTATATCATTTAAACATATAGCGACATCAGAATAACTTTCATCAAATGTTTTTTTAATAGTATCGAAAGCTGTATTATACAATTCAAGTGTTTGTTGATAATCATCTTTATTAAAATAATCGCATCCAATACTAATGTAACTAGTTGCAAGATGAGGATGATTTGATTTTAATGTTTTGATTCTCATATACAGCGATCTTTTTATGCCATTCGATTCTTGGTTCATACTCACCTTTTTTCATCAGTGATATTACCAAGGCCATGATAACAGTACAGTATCAAAATGTGCAATCAAGAGTGAAGCATTAATGACACCAACTAAATCTGAAAAAAAGCAGACATACTTCATCACCAAAACAACGAGAACTGTCATGGCGTTTAGCGGCTAAAAGAAGTCAGCAAAAATGCTTTTTCTTTTCCAGTTGAATACGAGAATTGTCTTTTGTAAAAGTTATCTATATTTATCCTCTTTGTTATGATTATTAAATCTTTCTGTATATGAGAAAGTTCAATTCAGTGAATTTATTCTTTTTTAAACTTCATCAATATTCAGTAGTTTCCCGACAGAATGTTATACATATTGCGATAGAATTGTGTGTTGTTCAGGGTGTGGGTCGACTGTTAACTCCGAAATTTTTTAAATGTCTTTTGTCACGGGTAAAAAGGAATAGTGAAAAATAATATACGAGAAATTCCGTTTGTTCATGCTATCTGAAGTACTGAAAGACCAGTATGTTTATAACAAAATCTTCCAGTAGGAAACAATTTCGGGATACTTTTTGAAATAGAATATATTTCATACTCGATTAGTTCTATAGTAAGGTTTATCTTTAAAAAAAGTAATTTCTTATTCATTTAAGATTACCTCAATTACAAATTCAAATGTAAGTTTGATCTAATAAAATAAATCAATTTTTTCTGTGTTTAGGTATGTCTCAATAATCAATTCGATAATAAATTATAACTTATAAAATGAAATAATTTTTTTCTTTATTTAGGTACATATCAATAGCCAACTCAATTGTAAGTTTCGTGTAATAAAAGAAATTAATGCTTTTATTGATTTAGATATACGTGAATAATCAATTCAACAATAAATTCAACCTTACAATATAAACTAATGTTTTTTTGTTTGTTTAGGATCGTCTCAACATCAAACAATGCCGATGCGCTTTTCTCACGAATAGAGAAGGGAGTGCTCGCTCTTATTCTACTTACAGCAAATCTGGGTAAATATAATGTATATAAAATTTGGTGGTGAATGATAGAAATAAGGAGTTAGATCTAGGAATAGGGAGGTAGATATAGAATTAAGGTGTTAGAGATAGAAGTTAGGAGTTAAGCATAGAATTAATCAGCAATGATAGACTAAGCGAGTTAGATGCGACACATTTTATGAGGGTAGAACCGTATTTTACTAAAATCTTAAAATGTTCATAAAATCGTAGCCAAATATAAAACTCTGGAAGATTCAACATGATACCTGATGCGGAAGAGTGAGAGTATGATATTCTATTCACTTACATCCACACTCCACCTACACCCGTTCTAGTTTTGACGTTAATCCACATATTTCTGATAATGTGATTTCTTGTATTGCAACTTATACGGTAGTACTGTTCAATAACTCATTTAAGATCTGCTTATATTTTAGTTCATCCAAATGACTAAATTGATGATCATGCATTTCCACTGATAATTGTCCAATACTATACTCAGTAAACATTTGCACACGTTTTCTAATATTTTTTTGCCAAATGGTTCGATATTGTTATCCATTTTGTACGAGCGTCCACGACAAGCCCGATAATATCACGAATATCTTTCTGGTCAAAGAAGTAACAAGAAGTCTTTCTGAAAGAAGCTCCTGAAGTTCTGGCAAAGACTGCGTACAGTACATAGACGATGGTAATTCAAAAACTTAAATGTACAGTCAGTGGTGAGTTCAATCGAATTCAGGAGGTCATATTTTTTTCTATGACGGTTAATGTGATTACTTGTTATGATCGATGTTGCTTGTATTTCTTTTGCTGTCGTATATTCAAGTCGATATAGATATTCTAATAAAGATCAACAAAACAAAGAAAAACAATTCCGAGCAATTTTGTGTACATGATAACGAAGATGTGTTAACCAACAGACTTGATCGATTACTTTACGATTTTTCAAATTATATTCTTCTTTTGTCATAGCAATGGCAAATCGAACAGCCATGTCTTGGATATCGCATGGTCTATAAATAAACTTAAACATACAAAATCTAGAATCAAATTCGAAACTCCAATAAAAAATCCGAATTAACTTCATCGAGAATTGGATCTTTGTCAGGTTCGATGACAAGAAAACCCAAAAGAGCAATAATAGACAAAAATATTATAATTTTTAGGTATATGAGTAAATATTTGTTGTACCGAATGAAATAAGATAGAATCAAGAAAAAAACAGAAAATCTTAGTAGTTGATATGAGTATCGAGTAAATGGTGTCATTTATCGATTCTGGTTGAATCAAAACTAGTACCGACAGAGACCAATGCAGTCAAATAAGGAAATTTTCCAATCTGATATTCATTCAATATTAAAAATTGGCCTGAACAAAAACGACATGTTTTTGTTGTAGATGAGTCAGAAATAAGATCATTTATTGGGTATCTATTTTGTAAAACCGAAAGATCATAGTCTTTTAAATGCTAAATAATTAGCTCAAGTTGATAAAGTGAATTCAGAAAAACAATAGAATAAATGAAATTTCAAATGGCTATCACTTGCAAATAACAAGTAACATGATTGCTGTCGAGTAAGTTCAAGCTGAAAAGAAACATATTCTCACTTCGATATGAATGTGCTGCAAACGATTAATCACATTTCCTTCTTTTTTTTTCAAGGTTAAGGTTGGAAATATCCAAATGAAACCGACTTGAATGTTTTTTTAACTTCTTTCGTTCTCGTCACATTTCTTTCCAATTGCTGTGACTCTAAGTTGTTATTGCTCCGAATTGGACAAATACAAAGTATGGCATACAACAGTACACTAGTTAATTGAAAAGAAAGACTTTTCTACTTGGATAAATGCTATTACAAAACAGTACATATAATTAGGATCATGAGAAAATTGGTGTGTTTCACATGGTACCGCTTTTATTTTTTATTTGATACTAATCCGAAATCTGATTCATCGTTGTAGCATGGCACACCTTATTGTGATCCATGATGAAAGAGAACAGAAAACTGGAGAAGAAAGACTGGCTCAGTGTCGTTTTATCAAAATGAGGGTGTCAGTGTGGATTTGCGTGATGAGAATCAATAGACCTACATCCATACTTCATATCTCATAGAAACACGTCAAATTTCTTGTTAATAAGCACAATTTTTGGCGATGCTGATACTTTCAGTTCGAGGTCAGAGAAAAACTTTAAAAAGAGATATTTTATCCTCATCAAATGATTTCGTAAGACTAATATTCTTTTTTTGTTCGAAAATAAACACAAAAAAATTAACTTATTGGCTTTTTTCCTTTGAGTTGTTGCAAAATGAATTATCCTAAATATTTCCCTAACTACAAAAAAGAAACACATGTCAACATTGTCACCATGTTAATTACGATCATGAAGCAATTACGCAACAAAAACTAAAAAACACCTTTCTATGCAAATCAGGATCGATTGCACTGAGTTAGTATTTGTAAATAGTTGGCTGTTTACAAAAAAGAAACGTTTGAAGACATTTCTTTTTCCATGAAACTTCACTTTCTTCTTCAACGAAAAAGCTCGACTAGCTATGTCCTTCTCACAATCATTTTAACTCATCTTGAAAATCTCGTGGTAATTTAAAGATCGAAGGTGTGAGTGTGAATGTAAGAGTAGGATGGTTGCAGCTGTGATTTTGTGAGCTTCTTCATTTTGTCTTGAACTCCACTCATACCCTAAAAATAATATTGTGATTAAAATAATTTTATAGTTCGATGTTAGGATTAAATTAGCTTTTCAACAATATGTGGTTATTGAGAGTTTTTCAATAATTTTCAAGTAAGACCGACTTCGCTGTGAAATCTATCTCGCGCCATGTGATGACTGACAATTATTCATAAAAGTTACTTGAAACGTAACTTTTTATTTATTTGTGCTTATGTATCCCAATGTCATTTCCACATTATGGAAGTGTCAGAAGTGAAAAATTTGTTGTTTTTAGTTGTTTTAAATGATTGTTTATCTTGAACAGTTCGAAACTTAGGAATGATTTTTAAGATTGTAATGTCAAAAATTTCGTTCGAAATTGCATGAAAAATGATGTCGGACAACAGAGATTCATGCTCACAGAATGGACTGGTAAGAGGCAAATATAGATAAAAAAAAATGAGATAACAAAAAACGAGATAAAAAAAAGCATATTCTTCTTCACTGTCGCAATCTCCATATCTGGCTCTGCATTCATTTATTTTTGACTCTATGCTGTAAAACTTGTTGATCTCTATGAATTTCTTTAATCTATATTTTTCATATTCTGATCATAATTTTGCTTTGTTTTTGATCCTCTGCTCACGGATCTGTATTGATCGAGTCATTTGATTTTATTGTATAATTTGAATTTCTGTTTATTAAAATATTTAATTAAATAGAATTTATATCTAAACGAAGACTATCTATTTCTTTCTTTACATAGACTCTCAAATCAATATTAAATATATTATCTTATTTATTATCCAATAATGCTACACACAATAATTTTCATTTTTTATTCGAAATCGAATTCAGATCTTCTTATTCTATATCGACTCGCTCTATGCATGTATCAGAGATGTCGATCGCAGCTGAAAATCTGCCGCCACGACTGAGTTTCAAAGAAGTTTTCGAAAACTACTGTCATCAAGGTACTATAGTTTTACCTTTGTTAGTGATCCATCAGATTCATTCAATCTTACAGTATTGCAGTCGTAGACATCGAAGTCCTGTAAAATCCCGTGCAGCTTCAAAATGTATTACAAAAAAGCTGTTGCAATATATTATCTCTGATAATCACAAGTTAATTATTGGCGCACACGTCCATTAGAATGAATGAAACTCCCTGGTTTTTCTTCTTGAAGATCTGAATTCGGTTTGATTTATGTAGCTATTAAATATATTATTTATAACAATGGCTTTTAGTTATCAAGAAATATTACAGTTTATCCGACCGAGTTTTTCTTTAACTTT